AGTTGTAGGTGGGTATATAATAGCAGCCAACGGAAAACTGAAAGTAATTATACTCGAAATTATAATGTTTAGTGCAACACCCACACCATGTCGACACGTTGCCCATATGTCTCGAAYGGCGAAATGACCAGCGCTGAGTGGCGAAAGTCACGCAATACCAAAGTCAGCGCCATGRTGGAATGGGAAAACAAAGACTAGCCGACAATAATGCCAGCAAGCGAATCAAAACCAACAACAAATGCACACTATCATGCACCATAAGAACAAAAAATAAAAAACTACAAAGTAACGGTCATAAATGAAAAATGATTTCTAAATTAATAGCAAAATTCACTACGCTCAGCGTTTACTCATACACAGGCCCATTTTCACACACACACATTCATCGTACATTCAGGCAGACCAGTTCGCTGGCTAACATCCTCCTGTCATTTGTCAGTATACCCCCAGAATGAACAGCGAAAATTTATACAAATATTCAGCAAAAACAACAAGATAACAACAGCAGCAAAGAATGCCATATGCACAAATAGCGTATTAGGGCCAAGAAAAGGTATGTACAAGCGATACATACAAACGCGTGCCGAGGCAATCAGACGATGACACCACTGAGTCTGCACGCAACAAAAAAACAGAAAAAATAACGAACAAAAGAGACAACAGCAAAGCACTATAAAACATTCAGCGATTCGACCACAACAAGTCTCCAGGAGCCGAAACGCAATTAACGGCAGTTAAAAAYTAAATTGCAATTAAATAGTTAAAAAGGGAAAGTTGGGAATTTTCATTTCTGGAAATCCATATCGCTTAAGTAACTTTGCAAATTCTTGAATACATAAAGCAATAAATAAAAGTTGAAAACAAAAAGTACTCACACGCTCGCGTTTACACTGGGGAATATAACACTATTCGAACATATGACATAAAGTGTGCCCACCCACACTTGGGTCATCATCAATGGAATTGCACACGCACCAACATTCCTAAACACACGAGCATTCGAAACGGAAAACGGAAAAAGGAGAAAGAAACACAAAGTCATGAAATTCACAGCGCACTCAGTGTGCTCTCAATCGCCTGTGGCAGAGCGTGAGTGGGAATTTTTCGAAATTAGGTTTCGAAGGAAAAAATCTGTTATGCGGTTGTATGTGTGACACATTTTCGTTTGACACTCCCAATTCCGCTCCCATTTCTACAATGTAAACTAACCTACATCAATGCTAGTGTGCGACCTGTGGGGTGGTGACGACACAGAGCTGGGCTTGTGGGTCCTTGGTTGCCATAACTTTTTGCTATAATTAGAGGAGACGTCAGTTGCGGAGATTAGTTGGAAGCAATTTAATTTTTTAACGCTTTTATCGAATAGCTTATGTTAAATATATCCATTTATTCTTCAGGCACACAAGTTGACCAGTCAAATTGAAAGCCTTCTATACGAACATTTAATATTATTTTATGAAAAAATTTCTTGTTTCCAAAAGTAAATTTTATTTCATTTTTTTTTGTTATATTTTTATACTTTTCGGAGGCTAGAATATACTCTATTAATACACTTCACAAATACAAAAGATTCCTTACATACAAGCGCTTAATTCCGATCATTCACTTTGAATGCCAGCTATWTGCTATAGTGGTCCGATCTGATCAATTTCTTCGAAGAATGCAGCATTGGCTTAGAAAAAACCCATACCAAATTTGGTGAAGATATCTTGTGAAATGAAAGAGTACTAGCACTTGATTCCGATCATTCAGTTTGTAGCAGTTTTTGAAAACAAACGGATGTTTACAAAATCCCATATCGAATCTTCGAAATTGCCGAAATAGTTCGCGTATATATAGCCAGGCGGACAAAGAGACGGAAATGGTCAATAGACTCAACTCGTCACATTGATCATTTATATTTACTTTATAGGCGCTCCGACGGTCCCTTTTGCATCTTACAAACATGGTGGCACACTTAATCTACCCTGTTCAGGGTGTAAGAATTAGAACGCAAGTAAACATTTTTTATGACTGAATGGAAACTCGTATCATGGGACATATGTACCTATGAATGCAACGCCATTTGTATGCAATTTTACATTTTATTCATCATAAATGCGGTCCAAATATGACCCATTGGTAGGATGGCTTGTAGTACTATATCGACTACGGCGCCAACTTTCGGTCAAACGAGTATGAACCCAGACACACTGTGCCGTGACAGCTCTATCTCTTCTCTTTTGTTTATAAAGCAAATTAGAAATTATAACGACACCGAATCCTTTCTTTCTTTCTCGAAGGGTTTCATCAAAGTCGGTCGTATTAAAGCATCTAAAGAACGCACATAAAATTCCAATTTCGGTGTTTTAAAAAAATTAYATTATTTTTTACCATTTAATTTCGATGGTTAAATATTCTTCGATCCAATGCCAAATTACAATTGAGTAAATTCGATTTTACGAGGGAACATACATATTTTCCTCTGTCTAACGGATGCAGTTTCGGTGGCGTGGAAGAAGTCTTAAAGTTTGTTTGACAGATAAGAGGAGAGGAGTGTTTTCGGTGTGTGGAGATGGGGATTTCTAAATACGAAATTTCCACGGCATTTAAGAAGAAAAAGTATCGTTATGTGACAAATATTTTTCTGCTCGTGGCAAACAACAACTAAATCCATTAATGTTGAAAAGTGATTTTTAATGATTTATTTATATTCCAAATTGGTAGTGAAAAATATGTAGATCAGTGTGTAAATGTTTTCGAATGTGAAATGAATATAATTTAAATAATGAATGAAATTTATAGTGGTGTGATGTCAGCAATAACCAGTCAACATGTAAAATAAATGTGAATTAAAACACGAAAGTGAAAATGAAATGATGGTATACAAAATTATTTTCTACTCTTCAAACTAATCTTTCTAATAAAAGTTCACGAAACTAACAAAACAACGAAACTCTTCTCTCATACTGCTGCAACACGTCGATCCTTTATACAAAAAAAAAGTGCAAGAGTAGAGAAAAGTGTTATTTTTACTCGTAAGTTTTGTGAAGGAAGTGATAAGCGATTGTGTTATCTGAAAAGCGCAGTTTCCTACACAAATAATTTCTTGAATCATTTCTATTAACACGGTCGAAACGACGTGAGCTTTAAATGTTTCTATCAACGCTGAAAAACAACACCTTTGCACCAAAAAATAAAGTGTCTTCGGTGTCAGCTGCCAGTCGTGTCTGCCACAATCCCCCCATTTTCCTCGTCATCTGTGCAGCGTCGTTCACAGCGCCATCGTCATCACCATCGCCATCGCCACATCCATTGCTAGTGTCTGTGTTTTCATTGTCTACGTGGTTGTGGACGTCGCTGTTGTCGTCGCCTTTCATTGTCATTGTCAATGAGCTACGCCAGCTACTCGTAGACGAACAGCTGATAGCAGCCACAATCGCCATAAGCGACGACACAACGCGCTGCAGAGTCGCAACACTTTCAGACCTCCCAAGCTGCATAAGACGCTTCGCTCATCGTTTACTAACTCTCCTCTCCTTAAACGTTAGTAACGTTAGTGCTCTCACACTGTTGTGTTTGTTGTTTATTGCGAAAACACTGTGTTTTTATCAAATCGCCTTAACTAATTTGTCTCCGTCTCTGAAACATTCGCGAAGAGTGCGAGTGCGAGTGTGAGAGTGAGCTTAGCCTTTGAGCGGTCGCCATTTACTGCGAGAGTTCAAGCTAATGCCTCGAGTTCGTCGAGTTCGTCGGTAGAGAAGCAACTCGGGAAGCAGTAGAATTCGATGCGGGTGGCATTGGTCACTAGGTCACTTAAATACCAACAGGCGACATAGCGCACTTGGCTGACTGAGCGTGTGGAATATTGCACGCTTGTGAGCCATTTTACCATTTCGCGTACTTTCTTTGCAATGCCACAAATGAAAATGGTGATAATGAGTAAAACTACGTGCTAGTGTAACTATTTCAACAACAAAAACTACGTCTACTGCAATTATAATGGACCTTAATAGTGCCGTTATCAAAACARCAACAAAAGCTGAACTCGTACGCTGACTTGTTGTTGTTGGCGGCAGCTGATTTATTCTACACATATTGTGCGCGCTCATCGCTCTCATTTAYGCTCTCGGTTTTCCAACTATCGCGCATGTACAAACAGCAGCAACAATATCAACAAAACCATCAGCGATAACGCCATCAAAATAACAACTCTAACAATTGATTTGCAGAAACAGAAAAAGAGCAGGATACAACAATAAGTTGCTCGGCAGCAAATATACATATATTATCGCACGACATAAACAACAATAGCACCAACTGTGGAACAATACAACAGTTATAAGACGACGCTCGCAGCCAAAGCAACAGTGGAAGCAACAAATTCTGCCGCGATTTCGTTTCCATCCACATCGACAGCAATCAGCAAGAACACTGGCAACATATATCTCAACGAAAGTAACGATTGCGAACCGACCAGCGCAGCCGCTGCCCCAGCTTTCACAGCTGCGGCCGCTGCTGCTGCTGCTGCTGCCGCCACAACGACTGCAACTACATTCGCAAGKGCAACAACGACTGTTAGTGCAAGTGCAACTGCAACTGCTACTGCTTCTAATATTGCTGCATCAGTTCCTGCTGCTGTTGGTGGCGTCAACACCGTCACTGTCACAGCCACCACTACTGCCGTCTCAGCTACTGCGACCACCTCCTCCCGTTCCGCCCGCGCCAGCTACGCCAGCCGCGCCACCCACACAAACGCCAAAGCCAAAGCTACGAGCGACGCCGACATCAAATATATTACCGACATCGACGACACGGACGACGCAGAAGCCGTAAGTTCGCTCATTGCCACTCGTTGCTCGTGCAACGAGGTGAGCCACAGCGCGCACGCGAACACAATATACATCGCGGAAGCGGATACGGTCGCCGAGGCGAGAGGGCGGTCGACTGCGACAGCGACAGCGGCAGCGGTTGGTTACGGTTACGGCAGTAATCGTCGCCCTGTGTGCACGGACAATAATATGAGGAGTGGCAGTTCAGAATTATTACTCGAGCAGCAACAACAAGAGTTACGGTTACGTAAAAAACGAGATCTGGCTCCAAAAAAGAAAAATGGCAACCGGCGTTTTCGTTCGTGGCGCGAACGTGCACGCTTCTATGGCACGTCCACGCTTGCCTTCTTCTCGGTGACGGCCGGCGCTTCGCTCCTATTCCTGGTGCCGCTCTATGTCGATCCGGCGATATCGACACTAAATCACGATTTCATCGATAGTCCGACACTATGCACAACCACACGTCGCGAAGACCTAATCGGTATATTTAATTGTTCGTGGAGTTCGTGTCGCGAGGGTTGCACTTCTGATCTATATCGTTGTGTACATATTTATGTGACGTTTATCGAACAAAATATTACGATACCCGAGAACATGACCGATTACACTAACTTCACCGCGGAGTGGGAACAGTCGGAGGAGGCCACACTGCTGGTGAACATAAAGGGTTGTGGCTATCCGCCGACGGTTACATGTAAAACGTTCAATGCCTACTATGGTGTCGAAGGTGCGATATTCCCCTGCTATTATTCGCGTAAAAATAAAACGGTCGTGCTGACGTCGTACAATCACGACCATCAAGTAGCGACSATCATACACTTCTTTACGGTGCCATTTGTGATAACAGTGATCTCGGCAATCGCGCTCTGCGTTATGCATTGTGATTGCAGGTGTAAAAAGGATCACAGCCATCGAAGGAATCGGGGGCAAGGCCGCCGACCGCGTATCGAAAACCTTAGGTGAGTACATGTGCTGGCATATTGACGAATTATATTTTTATTTTGAAATCTAAAAGCAAGARCGCATAATCAAATATAGCTGATTAATTCACCGAAAAGCGAAAGTGTGATCGTGTCGTTTTTGAACCAAATACCTTGCTTTCGCAATGAAGTTGGGCGTGGAATAATAAAAAATCGTTTCAAAATCACAAAAAAAAAAAAACATTGATTGTTATTAACTTATTTATATCTTATCTTTGATCGAAAAGAAAATTCAAAGAGCTTGCGAACACTGTAAGAATATTTGGGATGCTCATGGGTTTATGTTTTAATAAGATTATTTGGCGTTGTTGCTCATAAAGAAGCTTCGAGTGAACACTAGCGGTGCCGGAAGTTTAGATTATAAGGCTTTATTGTTTCTTGCATATCCTCTAAACAATTGCCAAACTCAAGTTTTGGGGTAGCCTTAAGCTCTTTCAGTGATTATATMTACCCTGTAAAACGACGCTTTAATTTTGGAAATAGGAAAAAGTCACACAGAGCCACGTCTGGGGAATTTGGAGGTTATGACAGTGTGGCAGTATTGTTTTTGGATAAGATTTCACGAACAAGCAACGAAGTATGAGATTTTAATAAACGGAAGTTCGCCAAGCTCATACGCGTCTAACGTTAGCGGCTGCTACAGGCAAAGTCGTCAACGAATACAACTGAAAATTTTATTTATCAATATAATTAAACAAGTAGGGAAGGGCAAAGTTCGGGTACAATCAAAGCCAGGTGTAAAACCAATCATAAAGAGTAAAGTCAACCGGAAGGTTAAAAATCCTGATGTTACTTATACATGGAGTCTAGGCAAAGCTTTCGCTCAAATTTATCTTTTTTGGCATGATCTCTTATTTTCATTGGAATAACTCACATATTGGCCGACATATGCCTCACAAAGTCACCCGGAATATCGAAAATCTTTATACATATTAAGTATTTGGGTTATGGGAAGTATTAGTCCGACTCAACCCATTTTTAACATTAAGACATACCATTATACAAGAAGGATAGTCCCTCAATTTCAGTTATATATATCACACATTGACCTACATTTTCGATCAAAAGTCAACTATGGGYACMGGGATCTAAATATTTGGTACATAGGGGCTTGAACAGTTTTCATCGGATTTAAACAATTTTTGGTCATAAGTTGGCACACACTAAAGACATTATTGCATCCCGTCATATTAATTGCTTCTTGTTTTGTGTACTGGGAACAACCGAAGTAGACGGGATTGTTGTTCGATATCGGCCGTTTTCGCAATATGACATTGATATGTAATAAATTCTGTTGCAATCGACTGGTCAGATCCCGAAATATAGGATTTCACCAAAAAACTCCAAGCCAAGCGTTACGTTCAATTTTCACACCAGTTCCCATAAAGCTCTCTCATACCATTTCGGTGGTAAAATTTAATGTTTCTGGCGTATTTAGTTATTGATTTATCGTCCTTTTAGGAGTTTTAGCAGCACCGTTATATGGGGAGTGAGCTGGGCGACCCATCCACTACACTGTCAGTGGAAGGATTTGTACTCAACATATTTGGTTGTTGTAACTCAAGTGGTTGAGGAGATATGTACTTTGAACTTTTCAGAGAGTGGTGCCACGCCCAATTTTCGCAAATGTTTGSCCACAAGTGCCCCCAACWAYTGCGAYYCTTTGTACCAAATTACAGCTTTATATCTAWATTTAGTGCTTGGTTATGGCACTTTATATGTTTTCGGTTAATAGCTACTTGTGGACATGGCAGTGGTCCGATTAGACCCATCTACATATTCGAAATTTTTTTGTATTGAGGAATACACATACCAAGTTTCATCGAGATATCTTAATTTTTACCCAAGTTACAACTAGCACGGACGGACGGACCGAGAGACGGTCAACCGGATTTCAACTTTTCTCGTCATCCTGATTATTTATGTTATGTATATATAATATATAACCCTATATCGATCTCGCTTAGTTTTAGGTGATYCGTACAACCGTCAGGTGAACMAAACTATAATACTCTGTAGSCACTGTTTGCAAGAGTATGAAATTTTGGCATTTTCACTCTCCAAACTTTTACGTGGTCTATAGTAGTTGTTGTTGTTACTAATTGTTGYTACGATTAGCTAGTCCCCATTATGGTGGTAAGGTTCAGATAAGTTGTCAWCGAGGTCATCCAGCGATRGGCCCTTCAAACGCGCTGTTTCARTGGGGTCGGACCATAGGGAGGGGAGTGTCAGATGTGTACTGTTAGATGGAGGTTGGTAGGGTCATGCGGTGACTCGTTGMATGCTGGACATTTATTTAATATATGGGGGTACGAGCTTGGCATAATCCGGTTCCTGCGGAGTTTAGGCCAAACGTAACTTCGGAAGTTTCCACCTACATTATGTTTTACTGATATACCGTTATTTGTCACAGCTTCTTCTTACATTTCGCCTTGAAGATATGCGTCTGTGAAAATCTAAAAAGTGCTGTTGGATAAATTACCAAATTGCTGTCGAGTTGACAGTCCTCTGACTCGTGCCGATTACGTAAATTCGACTATGGTCGGCACTTACTGAAGCTTTTACTCCAAAACAAARTACAATGGAAAGCTTATTACATGAAATGATTAATTAATTACACTTTGCACATGCTGCCGCCTTTCCTCAAGCAGCTTTGCTGGTTTTTTCTATGTAGTATTTACATACATATGTAAGTCATTCGAGAATCTATTATATATAACTTATATGTGGGTAGTCATATAAGTCGACTTTAAGTCGATATTTTTTACGCCGCTTTAACTGTTGACTGTGCTAAAATTACTGTTTATTAAGGCGTGCAACTCATCCGCCAAACGAATTAAATTATAAGCCCTTGACATAACTGTAATTTTCTGCTGTTCGATAAATAGTAAACACCCGCGCGCGGATATTACCCAATTCAGTGAAATCGGTGAGTGTCAGTGTATATAATTGACATAACTGCATATGACTTGTATACACGCGCATACATGTGTAAGTCGACACGAATATTTTTAAATACATACATATGTATAAGTATGTGCGTGTGCCTAACTGTTGCGTCACWCTTTCGTTCCAACTAAAATCGAATTTCAATTATTTACCAACTACAATYGGATCGCACGCCGAGTGCAACGCATAATTCATCTGTTTCCACATGCCCATATACAGATACATATATATACATATATGTATGTAGATTTGTGATTTGTGTGACTATACGCAACAGAATGTATCTGTCTTCGTCAACATGAATAATGCGTATATGTGTAGTATTTGAATTTCACAATTTATGAGCAGAAATGGGCGAGAGTAACTGCAAATCTACACAATGAATACTCTTATATGGGCATACATTAGGGCGCTTAATAGGATTTGTCATGTGAGTTCTATACCAATTTGACTGGAGCACAACCGATATTAGTCCACTTTTACTGCGAGTTTAAGGAAACTACTAAAACTCTCTTTTACCAAAGCGAGATGGTCGTATTTATGGACAGTTTTGCTACTTTCAGACAGACAAACTGACGGAAAGGCAGATAGATATGGCTAAATGGAGTCAGCTCGTCATGCTGATCATTTATATGTATATTTCATAAGATCACCGACGCCTCCGATGYCACGCAGTTTGGCTTAGAAGATTTAGGATTAATTCATTACTATAAATATGAATGTAACTAGTAAAAAAAAAGACTTTTTATATTAGTCTTTGAATAATAGCTATATCCGTTATGTAGAAAATGTTAAGTTTATTAGACGAATTATAGGTTGAATTTAWTTTTTATATCTGAAATAAATTAATTTTTTCTTCAAATAATTTTAACTATATATCCCGATAGTTTTTGTGATAAAATAGAAAATTTCTGCATTATTATAGCCATTTAAGGAACGTTACAGATAATCCAGCTCCAATATATCTTTATACCTCACATATGTATATAAAAAAATAGAATCAAATAAAATTTTCGAATTTTTCCGATATGCCCTTATGCGTCGTAATACTAAATACTCCAAGCTCAGCACTCAATTGCATATGTGTGTGTCTTCATACATGTTGCATTACAAGAGCATAGAATAATTGTTCCGCTTATTATGATTGATATTAACTTGGCAGCCGCTGTCAAGGAGCTTTTTAACAAACAGAGCTCTACAATTTGGGAGCACTAGCCACACATATGTATACACATAAACACATGCGTGCTGGTGCGTAGTATTATTAAAATTGTATGATGGGCACGCAAGGAGGTTCTTAAATTTCGACAGCTGAGATGCTGTTCGAATGAAACAAATATGTGTGTCAATTCAAAAATTTGAGGGGCTAAGTTCCGGTGCAACCGAACATTTTATACTCTTGCAACTTGCAGGTATCAAAGTCATTGAAGTACCTTACCTGCATATCCATACTCAAAATAGCTTTCATTAATGTATCTCACATACAGTCACCAATCATATGGAGCCCGATCTTCGAAGTCAATTTTATTTATTTATTTTAGGCACAAGATATGCTGTTATGAGTAAACTCGTTCTGTAATTTTCACTGAGATAACTCAAATATTGGCCAATATATCCAGCATAAAGTCATCTGGAAATTCGAAAACCTTTATATTATATTAGGTATATATGTGGGCTCAGGGCAGTATTGACGCGATTTTTGATACACAAAGTTACCATTGCTAGCAAAGAATTCTTTTCGATTTTTATTTGTATATCCCATACATTGAGCGATATTTTCGGTCAAAAGTCAACTATATGGAGATACTGGGGTCMAGATATWCGGTACCTAGGGGCTTGMAATGTTTTGGTAGGATTTGGAAAATTTTTAGTCATAAGGTSGCATACTTTAAAGAAATTAAGAAATTATTAGTGCAATRTTTTATTTAATTGCTCCTGATTTATGTACCGGAAAGTGAAAGAACTAAATAGAATTTAAAATTGTGCTAYATGGGAAGTAGGTGTGGTTGTAGTCCTATTTCACCCATATT